TTTTTTTTTTTTGGTGGAACCAGGGATTGCAACAGGGCCTTGAGCTTTCCAGGGAAGTGCTTATTCTCCTGAGCCATCTCCCCGGCCCAAAACTTGTGCATTTTAGGCTTTCCTTTTGCAAACATTTTCTTCCAAACTAGGCCCTCCCAAGTAACTGTCAAGTGCCCTGAAAAAAGATTCAGAAATATCTTTCTCAAGAAACAAATTTATAAAGTTAACTATTGGATTATGATCCATCATCTATTAATAAAGAAGGTCCCTAAAGAGCCACTAAATAAGAATTAATTATCTTGGAGTATTAACATACACAGGTGATGACAGTGACAGCTCGTATCTGAGTTTGAATTCTGATGTGTTGTGTCCAGGAAGCCTCATGATCATCCCTGGTGGTGGATGCTTTATTATCCTCTTTTCAACAGATGAAGAAAAGCGGCACTAGGTAACATGCAGGGAGCCCCCTGGGTAAGTAACAGATTTAGGGTTCCAACATCTATCCATGATGCCAAAGATTCTCTACCGCATCACTACACTTCCTCCTTTCCAATTCATAGTTACTGATCTGCATTAATCCAGATTCTTCCTCTAGGAGCTACCCCAGAGTCATGAAATACCCTCCTGGTTCTTGTTCCCAAGTGAGGAGCCTCTGGATGGCTTGGCTCAGAGCTCCCCTAGTCTGTGGAGACACCAGTGAGATTCTTCAGGCCCACACAGCAGGCACGTGGCAAGCGTGGCTCCATGCAAACGCTGCATGTGCTGCATGCTTTGGAGTCAGCTTCCAGTTCCTTGAGGGTCATGAGGACAAAACACTGATAATGATGTTCTACGATCACATTTCACGGTACCCAGGTACCCTAGCGTGGATCCCATATCTCTGCCTCCTTATGCAGGTCAATGGAGATGCCATTCATCATTAAGGTGCTCCCAGGAGGCGGTGTGGCCTTTGCCACAGGCTTTCTGTATGCTCTGCTCCTCAGTTAGTTTCTTACTGTCCACCTCTGCCCCTTGTCCGTCATTTCTGTCACTTCACCTGGCTGTTCCCCTGCTGGTCCAGATCCATTAAAACATACTGAATCCCTTCTAGGTTTGTCTTCATCACAACTCACTGCACAGCTCAAGATACCTGACCTTGCAGAACTGCCCCCCTCTGCCCGTCCCCTGGGAGCCTCTGGCAGGACCCCATGCACATGGCCTTCCTGGACATGCCTGGTGCTGTGCGTGCAGCTCCCTTCATGTGGGTCCCATCACCCACAGCTAGCAGTAGATGGCAAGTGTGCTCACAGCTTTCCAGGGAATCTCCCAGCATTTCACAGTGCCAGACTCAAAATACCAAGCCTGCTCCCATTTTCCTGTAACAGGATGAGAAACAAAGAGCACAGGGGCTGAGGGCAGATCTGTGGTGCAGTGTGTGCAGGGCCCTGGGTTCAACCTCCAGTGAAGAGGAAGATAAAAGGAGAAGGAGGAAATGGAGAAGGAGGAGAAAGAAAAACAGGAGAGGAAGGAGGAAGAGGAAAATCAGGAGAGTGAGGGGAGAAAAGGAAGAAGGAAGAGGAGGAGAAGCAGCAGGATATTTTTATGTCTGTTTTATTTTTAAGCATCTTGCCCTTCAGTCCCAGGGTCAAACAAGATATCAGTGTAATTCATCCAGAAGTTTTAGGTATTATTAAGGAAAACAGAAGTCCCTATAGTACAGCCAGCAGTGGTCACTGGTAAGTTCCATCCATGTCAGTCTGTATGTGACATTCTCAGGGAGGAGAATTAGTTGCAACAAAAGGATATAGAAGCAAATAAGGGCAGCACATTACCTTTTGGACTGAAAAGAGATGAACCCGGGTCAACCCAGCAATCTACTGACCAGAGCTTGCCCTTTGCAAACACTCACGGTCCTTAATGACAACCATTGCTCACACTTCTGTGTCCTGCTTGTTTCTCCATATCTGTTTTTAACATGAACATCATAAACTAGATCAGAGCTTTTTAATGAATATTATTGTTAATTTGCTGCACTTGCTTGGAGTCATAATTACACTTTGACAATCCATGCCATGCATCTGTATGAAATGGAACACTATGAACTGAACTACAGCAAGTGCAAGAGCCATCTCCCTCCCTCCCTCTGCCTTCCTTTCTCTCAGACAAACCACCCAAGATGAAGAATTGTGAACTCTCAGGCAACTGTGGCTCGGGGGAGGCTGTTCCTGTCCCACATCAAACTTCTGGGTGGGAGTTAAGAAGCTAATGCTGCATAGCTAATTGCTGTTGTAAACTTCCTAACTTGGATGGTGGGTTCCCACTTGGAAGCTCCATCACTGAATTTACAGCTCTGCCTTCCTCTGAAACCCAACATCCTGCCCTTACCCTTTTTCTTGCATATATCATTCTTGGTGGAAATTTTCAACCACCACGAAGGTGGGGTAAGGAGGTACAGCATACGGTGACTTCTTAGTCACATTTCCTGAAGTTGCCATTTTAGTACACTTAAAATATTTACTTATGGTAACACTTAAGTAATTACAGATTGCAAAGCCCTGTTCTCTTTTTCCACCGCAGTAGACCCCCTCTGTGTGTTAGACCACAAAAGGTAGTTTTCTGAATCACTGTCCAAATCAGCAAAGGGCTGCATCTTAGTTGTTTTCTCTCTTTGCTGGGACAAAATACCTGACATCCAAATTTAAGGAAGGAATGGTTTATTTAGCGCACAGTTAGTGGAGGTTTCCGTCCATACTCGGCTGACTCCAAGGCAGAGCAGTACACGGCAGAGGGTGGAAGTTCACAGCAGTGGAAAACAGCAAAGAGCAAGGGGAGGAGCAGTGGCAGAGGCCAGACCGGCTCCTTTCCTTATGTTGCCCTTAGGCTATCTGTCCCAGGCTGAGTGTAGCACTCACACCCATAATCCCAGCAGTACTCAGACCCATAATCCCAGCCTTCGATTATGAATTAATCACAAACTCTAGAACCGTGCCCCATGACTGCTTGAGGCTCTGGGGGGACAACTACACATAAGCCATAACAGGCTGATGTACTTATGTGGTGAACACCAGACTTTGCCAATCGTTCTTTTTTTTTTTTTTTTACTCTAGAATGAACATATTTATTCCAACATGCCAGAAACCCAGGCTCCCACCACTGTATCATACTATGTGATTTCACTCCATCCTTCCAGAATACACACTCGGAGGTTTGGGAAAGAACACAAGGTAACCACTTCTGGATATACTCATTTTTCAAAAACTGAAATTCAAGTTTCACGCCCAACTATTAAGTCACAATTAACATTGGAAAGGAAAAACACTCCCATTTGCTAAGACTGGACAGTCACCAAGACTATAGCTTCAGAAATCATTTGAGTTACCTGTATATAGCATACACATTATAAAAAAAACTTTAAACTCAAATACATGAAAGATACCTGTTCCCCTAACTACCTGTGAAGGATGCCAGAGCTAGAAGGGACTTGCCTCACCTTGAACGTGCTTCTCACGTGATCAGGGAACTCATCCATTACATGAGCCAAAAAAGGAGTCTACCATGTCCAGGTGTTAGAAGTGAGGTCACTTCTAAGTGTACAACATTACTTTTTTCCCCCTTGCTGGAATTCAGGGGCCCATGCATGCTAGGTGCACTGCACATTGAGCCTCCAGCCCTTCCGAGGGTCTTGCTGAGCTGCTGAGGCTGGCCTCAAACTTTTGAGTCCTCTGCTTTAGCTTCCTGAGTAGCTGGGATTACAGGTGTGCACCACTGCAACCCAGCTCACAGGCTTTATAGCACCCTGGCCTCTCCACAGCTCAGCCACCCCCAGGAGCCCCATGCAGTCCCCAGAACTATTCTCTGAGGGTGGCTGGTGTCACTGGAGGCTGTGCTTCTGAGGCTCTGAAGGCAGAGAAGGGCAGCTTCAGCAGATTTGTTTCTTCTGCGGGAAGAAGCTGTACTTTGCAGGATTGAACTCTTCCCAGATGCGCTCAAACTCCTCCAGGAACAGCCGCACATACTCCGAGTCCTCCATGATCAGCACATTCTCTCTGTTGTTCTGGATGGCCTGCGTGGTCCAGTTGAGGGAGCCAGTGATAAGCACCTTCTTGTCCACAATGGCAAACTTGTGGTGCATGTAGCCAAGATCCTGGTCATGCCACACCTGAATACCTGCCTTGCGCAGCAGGCCGATCTGCGAGCCGTTGAGGGCCATGTAGTCGCAGTCGGTGATGATGCGCACACGCACCCCGCGCTGGTGCAGCAGCCGCACAGCGCGCCCCAGCTGAGGGTTGGAGAACGCGAAGAGGCAAAGCTCGAGGCTGACGCGGGCAGCCAGCAAGGCACGCAGCAGGTGGCTCAGGGAGCTCTCCGAGTGCGGGAGGTTGCACGGGCAATCCCCCGTGGGCCCAGCTGGTGCCTCGCCCGGGGCCTGAAGCAGGGCCTCGGTGCAGGTCACTTGCGAGGGAAAAAACAGCACATCACGCCGAGGCCGCCGCTGCCGCCCGACCTGCAGCCAGCCCAGGAGCCAGGGCACTGCCTCAAGGGCCACTGTGAGGCCCACGACCGCAGAGGCCACCATCCGCCAGCTCAACTGCCTCATCGTTTTGCCACAGAAAGCCAGCCCTTCAGGGTACAAATTGAGCCTCGCCAATCATTCTTGAAGTCCAAAGTGAACAATCTTAGGACAGCAAAATGTATTAACTTATCCTTTACATTATACACAGGGACAGCTTTAGCCTCAATCCCTCCTTTACCATCCTCCACATTCACACAGTGGGATCGGCAACCCCCTCATCCTCACCCCTGAATATCTGGCACCCCAGACCATGCCAGCCAAGCAGAGGGTGCCAGTAGCTACGATGCCCGAACAAGAAGGGTTTGTTGAAAGGCCAAGAAAATCAAGAAGCAGTGATGAGTGACAAGGGACATTCCTGGGCCCCACTGTTCTTCAGTGAGTCCACTACGCTTCTACCTGGACTCCACCATGACTGATCCCCTAACTCAGAGACCGCAACAGTGAGCCGGGGCCTACGCCTACCAATTCGAGTTCCTACCATCAGCATCTTCGTCCTTTCTGCCTCCCCGATCCCTTTTCCCTCCCACCCGGAAGGCTGACTGCTCCCAAGGCCCAGACTCTACAGAACGCCACCAGCGCCGGCTCAGTGAGCGCTGCACAGCAGTGTTCCTTGCTCCCTGGCTTCCCTTCCTGTGGTTTTATTTCCCCATGGTCCTCCGGCATCTGAAAATGTTAAATGGAAAATTCCAGAAATGAACAATTCCTACGTTGTACATCACATGCTGTTCAGAGCAGTGTGATGAAATCTTGTGTTGTCCCACTCCATCCTCAAGAGTAGTGATGCTGGCAATGTGGGTAGGACAAAGAGAGACAGTGACATTTTTCAACATGGAAAAGGAAGCAAGCGTGAGGTTGCTATGACATACAGTGTGCTAGAGGATATTGTGAGAAAGGAGACAACATTTGCATTCATCGATTACAGTTTATTATTTTAATGATTCAATGTTAAGTCTTGCAATTACAGTGAGATCTTAATGTATCTAATTTATAAATTAAACTTTGCCACAGGTATGTATGAAGATGGAAAAACCACAAAGGTTTGTGGGTTTTGCTGCTTTCTCCCCTTCTCCAGGGGTGGGTGGGGGTGGGATGTTTCCCTTGAAAATCAGGAGAGGGGCTGGTGAGATGGCTCAGTGGTCTAAAGCACCTACTTAGAACAAACTTAGCAAAGCACAGGGACCGCGGTTCAATCCTCCAGCACCACATGCCAGCCAGCCCCGCCCCCTGGTGGGCTGAGCTGGCCACACACACACACACACACACACACACACACATAAATAAATAAAATTTAAAAGATCATAAATTTAATAAAAAATAAAATAAAAATAAAATAAAATACAGAAGGAAAAAAGAAAAAAAAACTTTAAAAAAAAGAAAAAAAAAAGAAAATCAGGAGAGACTGCTGTGTTCCCCAAGCTGAACACGGGGGTGACAAGAGCATGCCTTTTCACCTGTTCCTATCAAGGAAGGGGTAACGAAACAGCTGAGCAGTCGGATCCACTTTGTGGTCTCTCTTGCTGCTGGTGGACAAAAAAGAAGAAAGCTGGAGAAAACGGACAGGGAAAACACACTAAGGGCAAGGACCAACATTTCATTCAGATTGCTTTCTGGGTTTACGTGGCTAATCTGTATTTTTGGTTAGCTTTTGAAAAACTCCATTTGACTCCTAGAGGCGCAGCCTGTTAGTCACAGCCAAGTTGCCTTGATATATTTCATTACTGCATGAAAGGCCACATATTTATAAAACTACTAAAAGTCAAGTTATAGAAATAAAATGATTTGGGATTTTTTTTTAGGCAGTTGCCGAAACAGAAACAAATGTTATTTTTAATCTCTGGCTCACTGTAAACTGACAAGATATGAATATGAATTTTATGGGGTAATGTATAATAACTGCTTCTGCTCACCACAACCACATGCCAACAACTCAATTTTATATTTCATTTCAATATTACATGTGAAGCATATAATCCAGATTACAAACCACCCTCATTAAAGTAAATTGACTGGCTACATTTTGATAGCATGACATCACTTAACATAAAAGAAAGCTTAAGCACTAACAATGATCAAGTTTGCTTTCCCAGAGTACACTGCAAAGTTTTAGACTTGTAAATAAGTGAGAAAGTATATCCGAATGCTTGTAAAATAAGATTGCAGTTGCCTGAATATCGGCTCACCAACACACCTGTGCTGGGGGAAGAACTTCTTCTCCCTGGAGCAATGTCTGTGACGATAATGGCCTCAAAAAGTTTACAATCCCCTGGGAATCGCCTGCTATCCCAGCACTAGGGGAGGTTGAAGCAGGAGGCTGGTGAGTTGGAGTCCAGCCTGGGCAACTCAGCACTAAGGGAGACCCTGCCTCGAATTAAAAAATTACAAAAGGTCAGGGAATGTAGCTCAGTGCAAAAGCCTTTGGTTCGATCCCCAGTACTAAATAATAATAACAATAATAATAATAATAACAGCAACAAAGATAACACTTCATCTAAGAAGAGAAGATACACAGAAGGGGTAAAATATTTTGCAAACAGAGAAAGTAAGAGTACAAAAAACCCAGAGAACTTCAGAAGAGGAAAACCATATTATGCAGGAGAGGGCAGCAAGGAAGATTCTATAAAGAAAGCAGGTCTTACAGACCCAGATGGATGGAAATTTCTGAACTCTTATATTTCTACTCCTAAAATGAAACTAATCAATTTGTTTCTGGAGGTCAATTTATTCAGCAACTACTCTGTGTTAAGAAGCTCATAAAGATTATCTCTAAGCTTCCAAACTAATCTATAATGATAGTCTTGTGATAACCGATTAACAAGAGACCCAAAGCAGCCATTAACAATCTCTAGAGTCATTAGTTCCTCCTGAACACTAGTAAACTAAAATCCTATTTATATTAACACAAGAGTTAATCGCACAGAGAAAACAACAGCCTTAATAAGAACAGCCAAGGTCAAAGTAATATATTTTTGAAAATGACTCCAGCTGAAGATGAGAGAGGTTTGGCTACCCCAAAACACAATCATGTTCCCCCTACACGTAACTAAAATGTCAGACACGCCAAGAACTTGAGTCTATGTCTATTCTGCCCTGTGAAATCAGCAAGAGACCTTGATTTCATCTTAAAACTAAATTATTAAAATGGAGCCTTGTTTTAAAATTCATATTTGTCTCCATAGAGCAACATGTCTCACAGTGTGACTGGATTCCTGCAGGGCTGGGCTGCGGGCTGCAGGCTACAGCACTCGCCTGCCATGGGTTCAAGCCTGGGCAGGTCAAAAAAGCAAAAATAAAAATAATAAAAACACGGGAAACCTCCCAGCTGTGCCCCACACCTACTTACATAAGCTCTTGGGGCCCCTGAATCTGAATTTCCACCAGCTGCTTCTGCGCCCCAGAGGAAGACAGAGCCACACAATCAAGTTTTTGAGCCGAAGGTCTGGCATTTCCTCTCCACCTGTTTCCATCTTGCTTTCTCTGTTACTAGAATGTGTCATTGCCAATTTAAACAATTACTTTTCAACATCCTCCAAATGTTTTCTGTGTCACAGTACATTAACTTTAAAAAAAGAAATGCTGCTACAACCCTCAAATGACATCAAACCATTTTTATAACCCTTCTTTCACACTAAGCCCAAGCCAGTGACATGTGGCATCCAGTGATGCTTTGGAGTCTATGGAGGGCAGAACCATGGCAACTTCCCATACAGAGCTCCATCCACTCAGACCCTCACAAACCAGGAGCAGTTCCTGGGGGGCTCGGGAGCTCCAGCTAGAACTGCAGGGGGCTCCGCCAGTGGGAGGTCGCTCTGGTCATTCACGCACACCTGATGAAATTCACAAGGGTGGTTAGCAGTTGAAGAAGGACGCATCCCAGGGAGACACTGGCCGTGCAAGACAGGCACAGACATGCGGCACTGCTGGCCTTCAAGGTGCAGGAAGCGACCACGAGCCCCAGAGAGCAAATGGCCTCTCGAAACTGGAAAAGGAAAGAAAGGCTTCTGCACTAGAGGCAACCACGGGACTGCAGCCTGCTGGCCACCTTCACTTCGGGCTGGAGAGGGAGATCAGGGCCGGCTTTCTGACCCGCACATGCAGGGCCTTTGCACTGGGTTAGATTCCCCACTCCATTCTTCATTTTTTTTTACTTTCAGAGAAAGTTTTGCTAAGTCACTACATCACCCAGGCTGGGCTCCAACTTGTGATTCTTCTGCCTCAGCCTCCCAGACAGCTGGCATAACTGCCTCACACCACCACACCCACTGCTTTGTGTTGTTCTAAGGCAGAGTTTGTGACATATTGCTAAGTGAAAATGGAAAACTAGCACAGGTGCTCTGAAGAAAACACACTCGGGTCTGCTCTAGCACAAAGGCCACAGCCCTGCGGCCTACGCAGGTTTCACTCTTACCAAACACGTAAAGACAGAATCCCAATTCTTATCTGGTACAAATGTCATATGGCCCACAAGAGTTTATTCTCAAGCAGTTCGGCCACCACGTCTCCGGCTCCATCCTTCTCTCTCTACTCAGCCCCACAGCGTACTCCCCCACCTTCCACCACGGCAGAGTGCCACATCACCTTGGCAACCAAGAAGAGGGGACGGCTGAGAGCAGAGTGTCTCAACTCTAGCACTACTGACAGTTGAACGAGATCATGCTTGTCATGGTGCAGGACCTTCTGTAGCATCCTTAGCCTCTGCTCCACAGAAGCCAGGATTACTACTCCCTGCTCAGCCAGGGTTATTTTTCTCCTGGGGACATTTGGCAAAAATGTTTCCAGGTATTGCCAAATGTCCACTAGGGGCAAAATGGCCCTGGCTGAGATCCAAGGGTCTAATGCTTTCTCCAGTTTACTTGATGGTCTCTCAGTCTCCGCCTAGGACATGAAGAGTTTCCCTGGCTGTACATGAGCTGAGTAGCCCTAGTCCAAAATGTCTAGGACCACAAGTGTTTCAGATTTCTAGGATTTTCAGATTTCAGAATACTTTTATATTCTGAAAATAAATATTTATATATGGACATCTTGCA